CATATATATATATATATATATATATATATATATATATATGTATATGTACTGATGTTATTGTCAGTTAACGCTTTGTTATTTTTTGTTTTGTTATACTAATAAACTAATATTATGTCATGAGAAGATATATTTATATATCTATGTTATACTTCTACATATTATACTTTTAATTATATGAATATATTCGTGCTATATTTCAAGATATAGCTGATTATTAGTTCACATCACAGATAGTAATTTTTCTGTTATAGGTGTCATATATATTCTATTATATATTTTATGCTCACTACACACACAACAGACTCACACAAATATATTTTATCTGTTTTTATATTAACTGGGTGTACTGGAAATCATACGTACATAAAGTTTAACAATACGATCATTGTTGAATTAAATTTACCATTTTTTCAGTTAACCACCACATTTTTTTTCTTTTTTTCACACACATTAAAGATATAATAATCCGATAACATATATTTTGGTGTAATAATTGTCGAGATAACAATCATCGTATTAGGTTAATATATTGTACAAGAAGCACGTTCATGCTTAATAAAATATTTTTCATATATATACGATATTAGTAGTTCTTCAAAACAGAATCCGTTAGAGTGATATAGCGTCATAGTGTCACGATTTCAAACGTTTTTTTTATGTTCCAAACTCTTTAAAAAGCGAAAAGTAAAATTTTACGATGGGAGAAGGATAGAGGGAGGATTACTCTACTTGGTGTTAAAAAGTCGGAGTGTGTTGAGTGCTTGAGAAACGTGGAACGGTGATTGCAATCGATCGTCATCGAAACGGTGAGTTCCTTCGTCTGTCCTTCTCTCAGTTACCATATTGTATAATAGTTGTACAATAGCTCCATTGAACAAATTACATCCAGTTACGCCGTGCAATCGGCGTACTTATCATGGAAAATATAAAATATCACACTTGTGATCGTAAATTGAACAATTGGTTAATCAGTTGGCACTGCATTTTGCTTTGTAACACTGTATTTCAATACAGTAACAGGAGAAGGAGATAAGATTTCTTTCAACCATTTCATATAAGTATTTACAGATAATGTATTTCAGGTGGTTGGTGCATAATGGAATATTTATCGCTCTTACCTGCCGTTGAAAACGTGTCGCAGACATCGACAGAAAAAGTATTACCTAGTATACAATGGAAAAATCGTGAGAGTAGGGAAGTGAAATTGACTAATAACGAAGGGAAATTGGCTAATAACGATGCCTTGATCGGTAGGATAGCGGCTCTCGAGGAGGAACAAATGTATCAGATGGTACAGATTGAAATTCTCGTGCATTTCACTCTTACGTCTTGTGTGATCTTCTACTTGAAATTTGTATGCGTATGTGTAGGAATATCTCATGAATGTTACACGGATCTTGGAGGACTATAAACGAAGAGACGCTGATTTTCAGAAAAAGTACAACGTAAGTCTGTCATTTCATTGGTGTTTTTCGGCGAGAAAGAAACTAAAGTTTTGGTCAAAGAAAACTTCAGACAATAATTACGAGACGTTTTCACAAATTCTATGATATGCCCTGCAGGACAAAATCACTGATGTAGCAGATAAGCTGGATGTTAGCGAACTGAGCAGCGTATTGAATAATGAGCTGAGAGTTATTAAATACGAGTTTGAAAAGTTACGTGAGTTATACGCGGAGTTGAAGTCTTGTTGCAACGCTAATAAGGAGACAGTCGTAAATGAGAATATAGAAAAACATGTGGAGAAGATCTTATCTGGCTATTTCCCACCCGGAACTTCGAAGGAGGATCTGGTGAAGAACATTCAGAAGATTTTTGCGTCTCGTAACGGAGAAGGTTCGACAATAAGATACACAAGATATCGTAAAAGTCAAAGATAACATTAGGTCTGTTCTTTTTAGCTGAACCTAGTTGCATTTTCTTCCTTTAGAATGAAATGAGTATACTGAGTGAAACAATAACCATCTATCTATATTTCTATACTATATCTTGAATATCTTCGAAATAAAAAACAAAGGTGACCTTCAAATCTTCGAAGCTACTTCATCTAAAAAAATGTTTCTATTAAAAGGCGTTTTTTCTAAATAAGATAGCTTCAAAGACTTACAATTACCTTTGTCTTTCGTTTCAAAAATATTCAAAGTGGTAATAGTTATTGCCTAACTCTGCATAATTGAGCATATTTTGTTTTGCATTCAAATTGCTTTCGAATCTCGCGAGTCTGTTTCAATCTTGCTCTATCGAGTAGTGATAGGTTTTACGAATATATTGTCATAGATCAGGCAGTTTTGAGCAACAACGCCGGCGATTCGAGCGCTTACATGTCGGAGGAGCGCGTTCGTAAGATAGTGAAGGAAATCCTACGAATATATGACGCGGACAAAACGGGCCAAGTGGATTACGCTTTGGAGTCAGCAGGTATCGTAATCGCGCTGATAAGCGCCTGGTGAGCAACCGTAACACCTCATTAATCGCGTCGCATTTACAGGTGGTCAGATCATTAGTACGCGATGCACCCAGAGATACGACATAAAGTCGCGAGCCTTCCGCTTGTTCGGCTTGTTCACGTTGTACTATGAAAGCAACAATCCACGGACGGTGATACAAGGGAACGCACTGCAACCCGGCGCCTGCTGGGCGTTTCAAGATTTCCCTGGATATATCTTGATACAATTGCGCTGCGTTATTTATGTAACCGGTTTTACTCTGGAACACGTTTCCAGTTTGATCTTGCCGAATGAGAATATGCTGAGCGCGCCCAAGAGGTTCGACGTCTGGGTACGTAGAACGATTGCTTTTGTGGATCGAACTGGCGACACAACGCACAATTATACGTTAAAACTCTTGGATATTCGCGTAGACTATCCTTGTTTGATGACGTCAGAAGCAAGAAATCGCATGCTCATGATTCCTGCATTAGACGTTGAAATATAAAAAGATATCTTCATATAACTACACTTATAATTGTTTCAGCAAATTTATAAAATGCTTCAATTCTCTTTTTGCTGACAATCCAATAAATAGCCATAAAATTATAATAGAAATTATAAGAAAAATTTGATTAAAACCTGAGTTGCATTTCACACTAATTTTACAGTTATTGATTTTAACAGCAAAGGGAGAGCTTTCACAGCATTTTACAAATTTGCTGAATCGATCACACAGATATCATTTTCTATATACAGGTCCCAGATCACTTTCACAATCTCTCGTGAAGACGTAGAGCGGAACGAGATGAACACAAAAATCTCATACCGTTTTACGATATTCGCAACAATAGTCGAAATATTAATTAAAGAAGATTGATGAATGATCACGCGCGATATGGTAGATGAGCTGCAGTGATGCCGTCTGCCATGGTATACTTATACATAAAGTCAAACTGAACACAAAAGTCCTCTACCATTTTGCAAATGACCACATAGATTTTTAGGTATTAATTAAAGGAAATTTGTACATTATGATACACAATCATGTAACAATTTTCTTTAATTAATAATCTAATCTAAAAATCTATATGGTCATTTGCAAAATAGTGGAGGACTTTTTTGTTCAGTTTGACTTAATGTATAAGTATACAACAGCAGACGGTGCCACTGCAGCTCTTCTACCATATCGCGCGTGATCATTCATCAATCTTCTTTAATTAATATCTCGACTATTATTGCGAATATTGCAAAACGGTATGGGACTTTTGTGTTTATTTCAATCCGCTCTACGTCCTCATGAGAGATTGTGAAAATAATCTGGGACATCTTGTGCGTGCGTGCGTGCGTGCGTGCGTGCGTGCGTGCGTGCGTGCGTGCGTGTTTATTCAACATATAACGCGCGTGTAAGAGTCTTAACATGTTTTATTATACTTTCTAATATGAAAAAAATATAACATATTTCTTTTACAAATTCTCATGATTAGGAAAGTTGCTTTCAAAAAATAACTTGTTATTGTTATTCAAGAAGTAACGAGTCGTAATGAAAACAATTTCTGTTATTTTTCTCGTGAAGATTTTATTTTAGAATATTTATTTTTGCTCATTTCATATACACGTATTTTACATGTGTGAAATAACAATGAAAGTAACAATTATATTCGTTAATGTTACATAAAAAAATCATTACCATTTTTTTTAATTTGTTACTGTTACTAATGAAAAAAAAAATATAACATTGTGACAAAAAAAAGTAAGTAATGTAACGGTGTTACAATCTTCTAAATTTTTTTTTTTTCTAAATATTTCAATTTTACTATTTAATATTTTATGCAATATTTCATAAATTAAATTATTTAATATTTTCTAGAAATATAAAAATAGACTGTCTCAGTATAATTTATCTTGTTAAGGAATATAGTAAATTTCTAATATATAGTAGATTTAAATTTCTGAAAAATATAAATATAGCATGTAAAACGCGAGAAGATGATATATGAAGGCAAAATATCATTTCTTGGTCTATATATAGGAATTTTCATTGTAAAATTATCTAAAGTATTGGACCAAGTTGATATGATGGTTGGCAACTTTGCATGTTTTTCCTTTAACTTCTGACCTTGCAATTTATTCTTGACAACTATCTTCGCGCTGCAGACTTTGTGTTATGTAAACTGTATTATCATTAGTGAAGAGAACTGAAAATACGTTCAAAACGTTTGACTGGCTTCAGAGTGAAATTATTGTTTATTTTGAAGACAAAATGTGCAACAAACAACTTGCATTGGCTCTTATAGACTTTACTTTTAATATATTTAGCAATTGTGTATACATGTGTGTGTATGAGACTTTTAATTTATCGGTGATCCACGTTAAAATATTAATACTTATGAGAATATTTTATGATCATGTTTTGTTTTAAAACTAAGATAACAAATGGCCTGAATAAAAAGTTCAACGTGGACCACCAATGGCTCACGCGGCATGAAATGTGTTAAAAGAAATAATATTTGAATTATTTTTATTTGCGATATAAATTAAATTTATATTGCAAATGAAAAAATAGGTCTTCTAGTAAATACTAATAGTTTTGTCATAACATTTTTTTCTTTTACTTTAAATTATTCCGACAAAAATCAAATACTTCTTAAAATCGCTGTATCAATTTTTACTTCGTTCTTCTGCAGGGTTTGACGGACGAGAATGATGCTGACCCTGTAAGATTCGGAGATTATGAATTCACATATTCCGAAGACAGTTTACAATATTTCCCAGTGCAGGTAAAGTTTACTGATAACATTTATTGATAACAATAATTTTCACGCTACCAATATTACGTAAAAAGTTTCTCGTGATATCTCGAGTTTCGATAAGTTCTCCGATTTATTTAATCATTATTATCAATTTATTATTATAAGAATTGAGTTTGCATTTATTAATTATACAAATGTTGCAGTTGACTATGAATAGATAAATTCATTTTATATATACACATACATACATATATATATATATATATATATATATGTATATATATATATATATATATATATATATATATATATATATATATAATTGTTTACATCATATATGTATGTATGTATATATATACATGTATATATATATGATGTGTATGTATATATATATGATATAAACAATTTAATTGTAACTGAATTGGTTAATATATAATGAGTAAATAATTGCAATACTAAATAATTACAAAGATGCAGTGATATGCAATAGTTGATTTTTTCTCATGCAGAACACAGAGATCAAAAGGCCATACGAGTACATTGAATTGAGGATACACAGCAATCACGGGAAGTTGGACTACACGTGTCTTTACAGATTCCGCGTTCATGGAAGACCAGCTTAGAGATATCGACCCGATAAAACGTGTAAAAGTTCATGAGAACGTTGGAGCAAAAGCCGTTCAGCGGAACAAATCACACTTGTCCTTTAATATGTGCCTTCAACTACCGTTTAATAGTTTGAACTCGACGATGTGTCTTATTCCTAGCACTCGCAACTACATGAATTAGATTGGATATTTAACATTTTTGTAATAGATCGCGCTACAAAGTGTGAACAATATATCACCGATGTGTGAACGCTTACGCGTATAACAACGTCTGCTCTTACCGGTGAAAACGCCTGCTGTAAATTATTCAATACCGATAATATGCCGACAATTTATACCGATTTATACCGTTTGACCAAACTGCACGGCTGGCTTCGTTAAATCGAAATGACAAATGAGAACGTTATCGATGAACGTTGGCCCGACAGTATCCGAAAAATATCACCCGTTTATAAATCGACGCCTGTACTATGGCCTTGCTAGTAGTTTAGTTAAGTAAAGCGCACGAAAAGATGGAAAAGAAAGCAGTCTCATATGAAAGAACTCTCAATATGAAACAACAATGAGAGGTATGATACTGATCCAAAAGAGAAAAAGAAAAAATGAAACTTTCAAGATGTCTCGAAGAAAAGAGAGAGAGAGGGGGGGGGGAGAGAGAGAGAGAGAGAGAGCAGGAGAGAAAATGTGTTCGAATGATCATTTCTCACGTAACACCAATCCGGCAGCGTCACGTGTAAGACTGACACTTCAAAAGTTACCCCAAAGCAAAGTGTGAGTCATAATACTTGTAATAACGCGACAGTACAAATTCTAAGGAACACTAATTAATTAATTAATTCTAGAGTAAGGAACATAGAATTGATCTTAGATTAAGCGTGTGTATCGCGCCGCAGGCGGTTTTCTTTCGTCGCAGCTGAGAAGCGAAGAAGCATGTTCTTCGTGAAAGTTCAATATTCGATGCGCGACGCTAATATATCTCGATTGTGTACATATATTAAGTATTTCCAATACGTTTGTGCCGCATACGTTCTTCTCTCTGATTTTGGCTATTTTTACAATGATACATTTTTGCGTTTCCCTCCTTTTAAATTGCGATGCGTGTTCACTTGGACAGAAAGCGCCAGATGAAATCTATCTGTGAGTATGATTTCGCTCGAGTATTTGGGCTGAATATGCGCATCTTTTGCTTCATAGTACTTAGTGTGGTAAAAGATGCTGGTAAATTGAATTGTTGAGAACACGCTCGATTTTAGCAATGCCGAAAGATGCGACCGTTTTTACCATTCTCGTATGTGTTAATAGGATTTTTACATTTGCAAATAAAAAATTGCGTTACACTCAACACGCTTCCACCGACTTTTTCAATCAGATATTTTTTTTTAACTCGATTAGATTGCACACTTGTCTTTAGAGTGAAACAAAAGATCATGATCGTTTTAGCCGAAAGTTACAGGCCGACATTCATAGTCGGCTCTTATTTAACACCGTCTTAAGTTTCTTTTCAGATACTCCATAGCCAATGAAATGATCCGTTCATCATCTGAAAATAAATTGAAGACGGTTTTAAATATAAGATCCGACTATGAATATTGGCCGTAGTATACCGGAACTTTGTTCCTTTTCCTTTCAATGCTAGGTATATCCAGGCGGTTAGGTAATATTTTTAATTAAGGTTCCTTGTATGACCTCGCTGGTCATGTCGATTTGTGACGTCAGAAGCGAGGAATGATTGCTAATGAAAGTTTGCCATTTTTGAATAAAGATAAATATGGACGAAAGAGTATTTAAGATTACTTGAGCACACTACTTGTAAAATTTTCCGAAAGGTATCCCTTTCCCTTGATGATTAATAGTCGTACGATAAATGGTGAAATGAAAAATAATGTAAGATAGTAATGTAATAAGGAATAAAAACGTGAAATAATAAAATTAGTTTGTTTTGTCTGCATGCTTTATTTCGCCATTTATTATATGACTATTTATTGATCATCAAGGGAAAGGGATACCTTTCGGACAATTTTACAAGTGTACTCAAGCAATCTCAAATGTTCTTTCGTCTGTATTTATCTTTATTTTAAAATAGCACGTAACTTTCATCAGTATGTCATTCTTTGCTTCGACGTCACGACAAATCCAACATGGCTGCAGCGAGGTACAAAGTGCCTTAAGTTAAAGTTATAAATAATGATCCATAAAATCAATTTTGTTATGTTAAAAGTAAGTTATTTATTATAAGCATGCATGTTGCTGAGTAGCAACAAATTAATCAGTTAAATTCAGTTAAAATCAGTCAAAAAATTAATAACTCAGTTACTTTTAAATAAGTTAGTTTTTAATATAAACTAGTTATTTTAAAATACATTAACTTATCAGCTTTTTTTATACAAGTTAAAATTTGCCAACATTAAAATTATTCTGAGCTAGTTATGAATAGAATAAGAAAAATTAAAAAAGTCAGCAGAATTTTTTTTATTTCCCTGAGCACCAATGTCCTTTTATTATATAGGATCTTAGGTCAAAAATAGTTGATATTTTCTTATAAAAATTACCTTTTTACAATCTTCCATATAAATTTAATCTATATTTAAAAATTTATAAAAAAATATATATATTTTTGAATAATTAAGTTTTAACTTTAATAAGTTAATGTAATAGATGATTAACTGTAAACTTTGTGAAAAAGAAAGATTAACCCAACCCTGGTTAAGACATGCAAAAAGTAACTTAATTAAAAATTAGGCGAAAATTATATTAATTAAATAAAGTTAAAAATTAATTATATGCTCAGAAAAATAAAAAAACTTTTTCTATCATTATTTTTTATTTTTCTGTTACATTGTAAGCAGTTTATAATTATTTTAATATTAATAAATTATTTTAGCTTGTACAAAAAAAGTTTATACAAAATAACTAGTTTAAGTTAAGAGTTAATGCATTTGAAATTAACTAGAAGTTATTAACTTTTAAATTTAACTTTCAACTGATTAACTGCTTATTAGTCAAGCTTATTTTACTTTGAGGATAAATAGTACAGCTAGTTTAGTTAAAAGGTACAAATCTAAAGTATGTAATCTCTAACAATCTTTTTCTTCTTCCAATACTTTGCCAAGAATCTTATAAATCTCGCTTCATGTTGAACGATTTAGTTACAGAGTTGTCATATGTAATAATTTAGTGTTTCAATGTTCAATATTAATTCTACAGTTTTTCCCAAAATCATCAATAGCAGTATATGTATTTCGTTTCGAATTGAAGGTCAAATCTGTAATCGTAAGCTCTAACGTTGAAACGAAAATAAAGAAAAGAAACAAAGCAACATTAGCTAAAAAGAACAAGAGATTTAATCATAAATCTTTTTTTCTGATATGAATTTGTGAAGATTTCTTAATATAGAAATTTTCTAATTTAAATGTTTATTTTAAATGTTTATTTTTCACGAGCATTTTTCATACGTTCGAGCAAAAGATTCAAAATCGCCTACCAAATCTAACGTTTCCGTCGCGAGGAGTTCGATCGCTTTCGAAGTTCCCGCTGAGAGCGTCGTGCGCATGCGCGCAGCGCGGCCGCAAGTCGCGTGAGGGACGTCTCCAACCGCGTTCGATCGTTTAGCGGAGCATCCGTTCTCGTGAACCGGCCCACGATCCGGTTTTGCCGAATTTCCCGAGTGCGTCCGAGGGCCGGGGTCTCACAGCCGCGATGAACGCAGTGACGAGAGTGCGAGAGAACGCGATCCTGTCGACACGTGTTGCCATCGGCCATCTCTGAAATTTTCGCCTGTGGAAACCGACCCGGACACGGGAGAACAAACCGTGCTCGGGGACCTGTGAGAAGTCGTGTCGCGCACCGCAGCGACCATAAGAGCCTGACATTCGCGGAGGAAACAAAGGAGGCGTCGAGGGAAGGAGAAACAAACAGACAGGCCGCGAAAAAAAAAAAGAAAAGGCGGAAGAGACAAAGGAGCACGTTTCAAGAAGTGGCAGAAAAGTAGACAGAGAAGTGTGAATATACATCGGCCGAAGGGTGTGGCGCCCCCTCGCAGAGCCACGGCCCTGCGAAGTCCGCTGTTCGCAGGAAGCTCGAGCGCTGTCGCGACGGAGGGACGGGAGGACGAGGTAGATTGGTAAGGACGTTGGAGAGGGGGACCGTGGGGAGCTTCCGTTTATCTGCGAGGTCGAGAAGTTTGGTCGAGCGTTCGTTCGTTGGCGGTGCTGTTGAAAAACACACGATGAAAATGGCGTGGCAACCGCAGGAGGAAGGACTCAGGCAAATCCTCACGCTGCTCAAGGAGTCGCAGAGCCCGGACACGGCGACTCAACAGGCGGTGCAATTAGTATCCTTTTCTTCCTTTTCGCCCGCTCGTCCCCGTGTTCTCGTCTCGCCTGTGTCGTGCTCGCCGCTGTCGTCATCGTCATCATCATTATTGTCGTCGTCGTCGCCACCGCCGTAGCCGTTACTCACACTTACGTGGCCCCCGTGAGTAAAAGGGACGCGCGCGCGCGCGCCCCATCGTCGTCTCGCTGTTTCTCTTCGGTTATTCTGGCCGTGCGCGCGGGTCGTTAATTGGGAGATTCATTATGCGCGAGCTCGCGGTGAGAGCCCGTCAGTAGATCGAACGCAATAGCTGGCAGCGCCGATTCGGCCGCACGCCTCGTGTGCGCATCCTGTCACGGCTCCTCGTCGTCGATCGAAATGCCGTGGCCAGGCTGCGGCCCCGCGTGCGCGCCTCCCGGTGAGGACGCGACTCGGAAATATGGTAACGACGCGCGACCCGACCGTCATCGCCACCGCCGCGTCGCGTCGTCCCGTGCGAATTCCGGCTCTGTCTCCGAGCGCGCGCGGGACTTGTGTTCCCAGCAGCGCGGCCCTCTCTGATCGATAGCTTTCGCGGGACTTTCCTATGCCGGGCCCGGGCGCCGCGGACTCGCGTGCAAATGCAGTGTGCGGGCGAATCGATGTGGGAAATGCACTTCTTCGGGGAGACAGGTCGATCTGTGTTTTTCTTTTTTTTTTTTGCAAAGGGGAGAATTGTACGAGGATTTTTTGAACGTGCGTGTTGCCGCAACAAAATCGCATTCGGCCGTCCGCCATTGATTTTCCTTAACAATCGACGCGACATAGAAACTGGAAGAGCTGAACAAGTTTCCAGACTTCAACAATTATCTGATTTTTGTTTTAACGAAGCTCACATCGGAAGGTATGTTACTTGAATCTCATTTTGCCTTCGAGATGTGTTTCTTGAATTTCTCATACATACACGTACGTACGCGTGCGCACATACATATACATATACACACGTGCGTACGTGCTCGCACGCACACGCATCATGACCGTGCGAGAATTTGCACGCGACTAATGTGATTTTCTTTTTATTGATCAAGATGAACCTACCAGGTCTCTGAGTGGACTGATACTGAAAAATAATGTGAAGTCTCATTTTCATAAGTTTGTACCGGACGTCATAAATTTCATAAAGCAAGAATGCCTGTTGGCCGTGGGGGACCCGTCGCCTCTTATCCGTGCGACCGTCGGTATCTTGATCACCACTGTTGCATCGAAAGGTGCGTTTTGCGTCGTACATTTTGCGAGATCCGTGAGTCCGAGTGAACGTACCGGGTGTATTTGGGAGTGCTCTTTTTCTCTCCGTGAGCAGGTGAGCTGACTACCTGGCCGGAATTATTGCCCGCGTTGTGCCAAATGTTGGACTCGGAAGATTATAATGTGTGCGAGGGGGCGTTCGGCGCGCTGCAGAAGATTTGCGAGGACTCCACCGAGATATTAGATTCGGATGCCTTGAACCGCCCGCTGAACATCTTGATTCCGAAATTCCTCCACTTCTTTCGGCACTCGAGCCCGAAGATCCGCTCCCACGCGATAGCGTGCGTCAATCAGTTCATCATTCAGCGCACGCAAGCACTCATGATACACATAGACAGCTTTTTGGAGAATCTCTTCCACTTAGCCTCGGACGATGACTCTGAAGTCAGAAAGAATGTGTGCAGGTATCTGATCGCGTGTATTTGTAGACACTCATATTTTTTCCCCTTCTCTGCTATTGCTAGCTTCATTCGTTTTATCAACTTTTGTATATTTAATAACTAAAGCATCAATCCACTGACACATAACCAATTCTAAACATTCTTATTGATTTGATCTTTAACTACAAATGTTTGAATATTTAACATAGAATATATAGTAATGAGGGAAAAGAGATTGAAGACCTCTTGAAGTGACAATAAGGCAGTTCTCTCATTGGATAACTGATATATTCTGGATATATTCTTGATATATTCTGGAACTCACACAAAATACACTCGTCAACCCTTTTTGTCCACAACTATACATATTCAATGTATGCATATATATCTTATGTTGAAAGTTTGAATATATTCACACTTAAAAATCAAAACAATAAGAATGTCCAAGATTAGGTGTGTACCCAGGCATACTTTTAGTATATACAAATACTTTTAGTATATATTTTAGTGTACATCTTATTTTATTGTAGATTTTGAACCATTTTTGATTGTACTACTCTCTAAATTTCTTGGAGGGAAATTTCATTTGAAAAGTAAAGTGACTACTGAATCACTCAAGTGATTCTTTATTCATATAATTTTCTCACAAAATTGATGAGTGGATCTGATGTTATACTCTATCATCACAAGAACATTCATTCTAATCGATTGAAGTATTCACTCATGCGCAGTCAGAATCCACTCTAAGTTTTAGTGAAAATATTCACTCCTGCAATTTTGAGGTGTTTCATTTGAAGTAATAGTGAAAATACTGCCACTTTTCATTCATTTTGTGTGTAATTCCACTCCAAGAAAGAAAGTACATTTTACTTTAATATGCATTTTTTATTCTCTATATCAGTTCTTTATTATTATTATTTACACAAACTTATATCTTTCAAGACTAATCTGTTCTGTATGTTGGTCACAGGGCTCTAGTGATGTTGCTGGAGGTGCGAATTGACCGACTAATACCAAATATGCATTGTATAATAGAGTACATGCTAATGAGAACTCAGGATGCTGACGAAGGAGTCGCATTAGAAGCCTGTGAGTTTTGGTTATCATTGGCGGAGCAACAAATCTGTAAAGAAGCTCTCGCACCCCATCTGACACGATTAGTACCTATCTTGGTGAGTCTTGGTTTATTGTTATGAAAACAATTTGATGTAAACAATCGTCTTTTTGTGACCTTTGCTGACTTAACGCTTCTTTGTCTCGCTAGGTAAGAGGTATGAAGTACTCGGAAATAGACATAATACTTCTCAAAGGAGACGTTGAAGAAGATGAAATGATACCAGACAGGGAGGAGGATATCCGACCGAGATTTCATAAATCAAAGACGCATCATTCGCATCACGCAAATATGAACAAGCACATTGACGAAAACGGCGACGACGATGTGGGAGATGTCGAAGACGACGATTCAACCCTGAGCGATTGGAATTTAAGGAAGTGCTCCGCCGCCGCGTTGGATATGTTGGCAAATGTATTCCGGGAAGATCTGTTACCTGTATTGGTGCCTATCTTAAAGGAAACTCTTTTCCACCATTCCTGGGAGATCAAGGAATCGGGTATCTTGGCACTTGGAGCAATTGCAGAAGGTATGAACGTTCTTCTCAGAGCTTTCGCGCACAAATTGCCTTAACCGTGAACGTGTGTCCTTGTCCACAACCTTGCTTTAAGAGGTAAGTTGTAAGAAATTGACCAACCACAGTCGATTATTCTAAAAATCAACCATGATTGGTCAATTTCTTACGGCTTACATCTTAAAGCAAGGTTGTGGACAAGGGCTAAGACGTAACCTTAAGCTGAAAAATTAATTAAGATATTGATTTAAGATTGTTCTATTTAGAAGAAGAGATAATGACCGAGTTAGTGGAATTCTCAGATCGACTAAGGTTTCAATTGGTTGAAGTCTAATTACTCCTGTTTATAGTAAAATTTAAGGTGACTCGAAACTCCGATTAATCTAATCGACGATTAACTTGCAGAATTGCCAACACGAATTTCTAGTTATATAATTTATATGACCAGATATATTAAATAAAAAAAATAATTCCATATATATTAGTAGGATAAAATAATTAATATATTCGACTGATAGTAATTTTAAATTAATTTATAAGGGGAAATTTCTTACTTGTTCGAACCACAACCATTTTTTATCTTCCTTTTACACACACACACACACACACACATAAACTATTATAACTTTATTTATTTGTTCACAACTTTGCTGGTTGAATTAAATTCGATTAGCTTAATCAGAATTAGAAGAAAATCATTCTTATTTTCAGTTGTATCTTTTTCTAGAATACAAAACCCCCTAAAGATTGTGGAGTTCACAATGTATGAGGTCTGTTATTTTTAACTGAGCTAATGCTACACTGGAACTTTGTTCCTTGATCCTTTAACGCTAAGTTATATACATACTTGATTTATTCTAAACCCGGAGAAAGTTTACATATAATCATAAAAGTATATGTGATTTTATATATAATTATATGTAAATATTTTTTGTTCACATATGTTATCGTACAAATGACCATATCTAATTATATATATATCCATATATAAAACACTATTGAAAGACAAAAGGAAAATATAATTTGACTGTCGATTGTCAATTAACTGTCGATATTATAGGCTACTATAAACATAAGCATTTATTTCAATTGTATCTTCATAACAGAATTCTTTCCAATGTGGATATATATAATTATATATGATCATATATGACCATATACGGACAAAATTCATATATCTTTTCCTGGGAAGACAAAAAATAAAACCTAGTTCAGCTAAAAAAAAAAAATAGATTTAACTTCTTTATTGATTTTTCAACTTAAATTTACATCTTACGTTTACAATTACAACAATTTGCATGTGAAAGCTCTTAACACATTACAGAGTGTGTGCATTATAAAATAAAACAAGTCACCTAATGTTTTATTCTAAAATATTTCTGTTGCTTTTTATTTGTTTTTTATTTCTTCATTCTGTTTCTTATATCAGAAGAAGATGTGATAAGAAACAAATGTGTAAGAAGCATTGGCTGATTATAATATTTAATTTCTTTCAATCACATAATTTAATTTCTTACACATTTTTATCTAATATAGGACAATAGAAATATTTTAGAATCTAATGATGAGTGATTTATTATCATATACAAACTCTCTTCTGTAATTTTTGTGAAAACGTAGAACAGATTAAGACAAACAAAAATTTTATACTGTTTTACGATATTCGTAATAATAGTTGAGATATTAAAGAAAATTGGTGAATGATCACCAATATGCACGATTTGGTAGATAAACCGTAGTAGCGATATGTGCTTGTATATTAGGCTAAATTGAACAAAAAAGTCTTTAATCATTTTGCAAATAATTACATAGATTTTTAGTTATTAATGAAAGAAAATTTATATTTATAATTTGTTACAATTTGTACGCGATAATGCACAAATCTTCTTTAATTAATATCTTTAGATTAACATCTAAACGTCTTCCGCCATGAGTCTTTGATCTAATGTATAAGTATATAACTGCAAACGACGTCACTACAGCTTATCTATCATATCGCGTGTGATCATTCACCAATCTTCTTTAATTAATATCTTGAAATTTATTGCAAATATCGCAAAAGGATATGGGACTTCTATGTTCACTTCAATCCGTTCTACATTCCCACAAGATTTAAGATTTGTTAAAAAAAATTGTCTTATTTGTTTCCAAACTTTAGCAGATTCCAAAGAAAATTAAAAGAAATAGTTGTCCACAATGTGTTAACATGTTATAATCGTGTATTGAAGTAGAAAAGACATTGGACCAAAGTAATTGTGCAAGATGTAATTTTTGTCACAAATGATTGGTTGCAGGTTGCATGAGTGGTATGATTCCACATCTGTCTGAACTCATTCCTTACCTTATCAACTGCCTCAGTGACAAGAAGGCTCTTGTACGTGCCATAACATGTTGGACATTGAGCCGTTACGCGCATTGGGTTTGCGCACAACCGCATGAGACACATCTGAAACCTCTAATGACTGAATTGCTCAAACGAGTCCTTGACAGCAATAAACGCGTCCAGGAAGCTGCATGTTCCGCCTTTGCCACACTGGAAGAGGAAGCGTGCACAGAATTAGTTCCCTATCTTGGATTTATTCTTCAAACACTCGTCTTTGCATTTGGTAAGGAATTTTGAATTTATTCTCTAAACACTCATTTGATTGATAACGCGCGAAATATAATTACACAATTTTAAACCGTTGTTCAGTAACAACCGTAATCTATGTTTACATGAACAGTAGAAAATTAATAATTTGATATTATAATTATTGATGTTATATCGATGTTGTAACTTATATATTGATCGATGTATCTTTTGTATTGAAAATATCAGGATAAAATGAAAACTATCTCGTAAAGTATTCGATTTTTGATGATTTTATCTCAGTATATTTATACGTAAAAGGATCAGAGAAGTCAATTTATATAAAAAAAACTCTGTTAAATAATGTAATTCTGTTAAAGAAAAATTATAACGAATTTTGACAAGGTTTTTCAAAATCATTTTGAGATCAAATAATTATAACTGATAGATTTTTTAAAATACTTTTGTTTGAAACATCTTTTTCAAAGATACATTGTTGATGAGATATTCAGATGTTGCGATACATTTTCCACATCTTGTATAAGTATAAAATAAGATATGATATGGAATTGACCATGAATTATTGTGGTTTTATACTACCATGTAAAGTCTACGATCGAGTTTTACTTCAATATCCCGTTATTTATTATTATCCTTATTTGCAGGTAAATATCAGCATAAGAATCTTTTAATACTGTACGACGCGATTGGCACACTCGCCGATTCTGTTGGCCATCATCTCAATAAACCAGACTACATCAATCTTCTGATGCCACCTCTTATTAATAAGTGGAACGTACTAAAAGACGAGGATAAGGATTTATTTCCGTTACTAGAATGCTTGTCATCGGTAGCCACCGCATTGCGTTCGGGTTTCTTACCATATTGTGAACCTGTCTACAGGTATAAGCTATACATATAATTATGCTACTAACTATGCTACTAATTATGCTAGAATATTTGCCATTTTGTTATCGGTAAATACGCGTTAATTCGCAACTCTGGCTCTTATTATTCTTTTATGTACTCATCGATTGTGTATTCAATAAGGAGAAGTCGATAGACGTGTATTGTTGATAAAAATATCAAAAAATTTGAAAACTGGAAAATTTCCTAAAGTCGTAATACCGTCATTAAAAAAGTTATTACACCGAAATATTGAAATTATCTCGTACAACCGGGTGTATTGATATTTATTCATTTCTGTACCCAAATGGATAAAAATTGTTATTTTTAGTTGAATTAGTTCTACATTTTCATTTCTTTTCTCTTCAATGCTAGATTATAATATATTTGTTTCATTCTAAAAATAAAAAGTGCAACTTAATTCAGATAAAAAGAATAAATAAAAAGAACTTATTAATATATCTATATCTATTGTTCTTGGGGCAATAATTCCTCCTCGGAACAAGTGTGTATTTCGAGATATTTTGGGTTTCGATGTGTTATAACTTTTCGAGAAAAAGTCTTATTTTATAGATTTCAAGATTTTGACTTCTCAGAACAATAATGTCCACCGAGATGTTATACATGACTTGTGTTTTTTTGTCTTTCGCAAGCACAAAAAAATTTGCATGTCATAATCTCTTCTTACGATAGTTCTCGCCGTAGTTACTTGATTCTCGTTTTATCTTGTAGGCGATGTGTATCGCTTGTGGAACAGACGTTGAATCAACATATAGCAAGCACGCAAAGTCCAGAACAATTCGAAGAACCAGATAAGGATTTTATGATAGTTGCGTTAGATCTCTTGAGTGGACTGGCAGAGGGCCTGGACGGTCATATGGAACGTTTAGTGATGAACAGTAATGTTATGCAATTACTATATCAATGCATGCAGGACACTATGCCTGAAGTCAGGCAGAGCAGCTTCGCTTTACTGGGAGATCTCACGAAAGCCTGCTTCCAACATGTGCTCCCGTGTATACGTGAGTAGGCTCATAACTAAATCGCGATTCACATACGCGTATATAATGCTAATCAATTATGTTTTTACATATTTAGCGGAATTTATGCCTATTCTTGGACAAAACTTACACCCACAGTTCATATCAGTATGTAATAACGCGACGTGGGCAATCGGTGAAATATCGATAAAACTTGGTAAGTTGTGCAAGTGACGTTTCATTTCATTCTCTCTCTCTCTCTCTCCCCCCCCCTCCCTCCCTCTCTCTCTTCTCCCTTTCCCTCTTTCTCTTTCCTTCTCTCTTCCTTTCTTTGTCGTTTGTTAGTCAACGAAGAGAAATGATTCTTATTCTTATTTTGTTTTCTTGTCTGTTCCGCAGGGCCTGACACAAGCGCGTATATTCCGTTAATTTTGCAGCAACTTATCGAAATAATTAATCGACCAGATACACCAAAAACACTGTTAGAAAATACCGGTGAGTCGTTAATTCAACTTTTTTCTGCGTAATATACATACATGTATATATATATATGTATATGTATATTTAGTTCTTAGCAATAATATACATATATATGTATATATATAACCGTATATATAAAATATACAGAGCATATATACTTTAAAACGAATAGAAGGCAATGTGTAGTGAGATTTGATACGACCAACAAGAATCTGTCGATTCCTATGTACATCGCTATCATTTACCCGTGATATTTTTGTATTACACTCGGTCAGGACTGTGTGTGCTCTTCGCGTGAATCGCGATATATGTCTGATTTGCAGAGCTCGTGCTTTGACAGCATCCGCTAAAAGTTGCTGACTTGTATTGCAACCGTTGTGTACGATTTTATACGTAGACTTTATCACTCTGAAGTATCTCTGATAATTGTTCAGATCTCCCCAGTACAATTTATAGTATCTTACGGTATATTGAGCATTCGGTGGCATACAGTTTTCTAGGTGCACATTATATATATATATAAATGCATACATACATACATACATACATACATACATACATACATATACATATATATGCATACATATATGTGTGTATATATGTATACATACATACTTCTCTCTTTTTCTGTTCTCAAGTAATTTTCTGAGCAAATGACGAAACACACAGTTCAGTGACTTGTTGACGTGATTTCTAGGCAATCGCGATTGCACGTTTATCGACAGGTTTATAAAATATTAGTACTTGTATATTGAATCTTGATTTAGTGGTGTGCGACTGCCTGTAGGCTTAAATACGTGTGTGTGTGTGTATATATATATACACATATATACATACATACATACATATATATACATACATACATACATATACGTTTGTATTGCCATGTAGAGACATTACAATGCAGCGCATATATATATATATATATATACATATATATATATGTGTGTGTGTGTGTGTGTGTGTGTATTATATATACTGTGCTTGCATTTTTTTAAGCCCCAGACATCGTTTCGATTGGATTGTTTGAATTGGCCTTTATATGAAGATCATAATTGCAAATTTTGTTCCGTGCTCCTCTTTATTGTTATATTATTTATATATCGACATTTATATATATGTATATATATATATATATATATATATATATATATATATACTGTGTGTGTATGTGTATATATATATATACATATATACATACAAGTAGAGAAATCATTTGTGGTAACCGGCTCTTTTTACAAATCATATGGGCTCGCACGCTGCTATCTAATTTTGATTATTGTTTCAGCAGCTACAATAGCACGGTATTGCCTATGTTTCATTGTCGGTATCTCATATGTTTCTCACCTGTGTTCTCACTGTTCTTCGATTAATTGTTAATGTTACTTGATTCTGATTAATTGAGTGATTAATTATAATTGAGAGTTAATTATTACGGAAGTTTATATCTCTCGATCGAGCGGAGCATATATTCGCCTGAGTTTAATCGTTGGTTCTCTATCAGTTTGTCTTATTGTTTGTGTTTCCGGTCACTTCACTACACTTCACTTGTCTACTTACCGAAACCGAAACGAAAATGAAACCGTAGCCATTACGATCGGTCGCCTAGGTTATGTGTGTCCCCACGACGTCGCCCCCATGTTACAGCAGTTTGTCCGCCAGTGGTGTGTAACTTTCTTTATATTATATTCTATTAATTATATTACCTTCTATTTTTATTAGCACTCTTTATTATTATACATTATTATATTCCCGATTCCTGAGTAATTGCATCAGGGGCTGCTAAGAACTCTTGCGCAAGAACATACACACAGATTGCGAGCTACACCGTAAACTTTGCCGGGAACAGAACAGCGACCATAAATTCCTCCTACTCTCATTGTTATTCACAAAAAGGAGAGGAAAAAGTATACACTGTCACGGGAATGCTCTCGCGAACTTATCAGCATGGACTTGCTCAATGGTTTTTCGCAGTATTCGACATCTTATATTTGAATTCGTTATATAATATAATTCTAATCTTTAATTTTGCCACCATGCAAGTGTGTTATGATGGGCTCTCCTGTTTATCCGATTCAAGACCAGGATAGGTTTACATTTGTCACTTTTTCTCGTCACGTCACCGCGTTGTTTCTCGTCGCTCTCTATCTTTTCTCTCTTTTGCTGCCTCTGTCTCTCTTTCTCTCTCTTTCTCTCTCGCGTTTTTAGTCTGTCTCACGAGCAAACGTACGATTTCTTTTCTTTCTCTCCCGTGCGTATACTCGTACTCGTGTACACTTGTAGATAGTCACGATCGAAATTTAACATTGCATGTTGGTAATTTGGCATCTTGATTAATATACTCGTCGAATCGTTCAGTCTGATTATCTTTCTCGTCCACGATACGATCATGATGTGTACTGTTATTGTAAATGTCAAATGTAAACCCAGCCTTAAACGAGACAGTAAGTGAAATATGACGCCAGTCATATATCCCGGTAATTATATATAATACATTACATCGTTATATTTTACACGTAGGCTAGGCTCTCTGTCTCTTGAATTATAGTTCAGGGACCCGTGACTTGTGCTCTATGGTTTGTATGTTTGCAACATTGGCGCATTCGTTAACACAATTGGTCGTAACTTAACGTTAACTTGACAAGATCGCGTATACATATTGTACGCTTGCATATTTATTGTTAATCCAGATGTAGCGATCTCTTAAAGTCATGAAAAAGTTTCAATTATCGCATTGAAGATTGGCCTCACAGCAAGCCAAATCGTTTTTTCGCCTCTCGTCGAATGCTATTTAAAAGAGAGAAAAAAAGAACCCGAAAAGAATAAGAGAAAAGAACATATGTGTGTGACTTGTGGGAATGAAAGTAAATGGCTAGTTGTCCAATTTTTGCCAGAGCCATGTTATATTATTATATCTCTATGTAAATATATACATATATATTATACGATATCTCTCGATCTGAAGAAAGATACTTTGATCATTGTGACGATGCTGAGCGTTTCTGTGTCCTTGCGACCCATGAGAGCGCGACGTGTGATCGTTTCTAGATCGAACGTGCGCCGGAACAGCGTACGGCGATTTCTTTCACTGATCGAAGTATCTTTCACTTGGACAAGAGAAATTCGAACGCTCACTAATCACCTGTGTCGACATAAATTCAAATCCAATAGGTGCACTTCGTTGCGAAGCATAAGAGATAACGAAGAAAAGGATTCCGCGTTCAGAGGTATGTGTCAAATGATCACCGTCAATCCAGCTGGCGTCGTTCCGGATTTCATTTTCTTCTGCGATGCTGTGGCGTCTTGGTCGGCGCCGAAAGAGGATTTGAAGGACATGTTCCAGAAGGTATGTCGACTGGTGTTATGAGAGACGCAAATTTAATCTTTTCAGGAATTTATTAAAATTCGAATTCAAAATTTGAATTTATTAAAATTAGAACACAATTATTGAATCATTTAAGCCACGAATTTCTTTGCACAACCTTTTCCTTTGTTCAATCGATATCTGGGTTTTTGGAGTCGCTAATTACGAATTCGAAATCACTTTTTTGAAATTCAAACTATTCATAGACTCAACTTTACTCATTTACGGAAAGAAATATAACTTATCCCGATTTTTGGTATTTTGTCATATTGAGTTCGCCATCTTGAATTTTGAAATTTTTGAAGTTGCGTCAGCATCTACAGCTAAAAAAACATCAACCAAGCCATTTTTTCCATAGGTTTGCTGTGTAATATTTTTGGCAAATGAATTAAAAAAAACAATTTTCTTACATTAATTTGTTTATGAATAATTAAATTTGTAAAATTTAATGTTCTATGTAGATGATTCTGTTAAACGAAAATTTAAGCTTCACAATAAATCCACTTTTATCGCCTCGGTCTTTACAAATTAGTTAAAAATTAGTTACAAATTCGTAAAAACTTTCCGGGATAAAAAAGTTTATATATGAATTTTATTTATGTCCATATATGGTTATATATGATCATATATAATTATACAGAGTGAGTCATTTTAATCGAACCAGGCAAATATCTCGAAAAATATGGAAGATACAGAAAAATATTTCAAACAAAAGTTGTATGGTTTGGAGGGGGACATAAGATGGTGCAATTGGCTTGACCCTGGATAGTCGTTTGAAAGTCACGTGAAGGTCACCTTCAATTTCTTAAGTGGAAACCTCCATTTTTCATTGCATATTCTTGTAGCTTACCTCGAGAGCTTTCTAAAATACTCCGAACCATACAACTTTTGTTTGAAATATTTTTCCGTATCTTCCATATTTTTCGAGATATTTGCCTGGTTCGATTAAAATGACTCACTCTGTATATATCGACATTGAAAAGAACACTATTGTGAAGATACAATTGAAGTAAATGCTTATGTTTATGGTAGCCCATGATGTCGACATTTAATCGAATCAAATTATGTTTTCCTTTTTTCATTTGACAATTTTCGTTTTATATATGGACATATATAATTAGATATGATCATATATAAGGTCACATATATGAACAAAATTCATATATAATCATATATATTTATATATAATCATATATAAGTTTCCAGTGTGCTCTAAGAAAAGTGTATCATATATGATATACTATGACTTAAAGGATTAAAATGATATGATCATATAAATATGTCACTATTATATGTACATATTTTATATATTATATTAATATATATTATATAATATATATTGTTACTATTATATACAAGGTATCCGGTAGTTTACAGAGGAACCGCGGCGTACAGGTAGATTGGGTCAAACTAAATAAAAAATTCCTCTATTATTTTACGAACAATTATGTAAAATTTTGAATTATTAATCCAAGAAGATTCATGAATGATTACGCGTCATAGATGAGCTGTGATGGCGATATTTGCCACTGTATGCTTGTATATTCAAATTGATAAAAAAAGTCTTTGCTACCATTTTCCAAATGACTGTAGATATTTAGTTATTATTAATTAAAAAAGAGTTGTGTATATTCTGTGACATTTTGCAGATTTATTCATGCATCAGTTTTCAAGATTAGTGTCACCGATCGATTTCTCTCGTCACTCCATGTACAAAAATATTAAAATATGGTTATCGAAAAGCGAATAGTTTACGAGATATCTTATATCTTATGTAGAAAAATGTTAGAACAAAAATATAAAATATCTCGAAAAGTGTTTATTTTTCAATGATTTGGTCTGAGTACTTGTATACGCATAATAACTAGAGAAATAGATTTATATTTAAAAACTATATGATTCCATTTAAAAGATTAAATTTGATTTTGACAGGGTTTTTCAAGATTACACATTCCAAAATCAAAGAAATATAATCATTTTTTTCTCCCTTGAAATACTACCACTTTTTTAGACCACGTTTTTGTATATTTTTAAAAATAAGCAAGTTTTATATAATAGTGACATAAATATTTTTCATTTCATATGACATTATGTGACGAGATTTTTCTTTTTCTTGTGGGACTCTGAGTGATTCTGAAGTGAATGTTTATTCACAGTACTGTCTGTTATAACTCTGTCGACAATGTGTGAATTAAACAAAAACTGAACGTATCTAAACATACACATATGTGTCAGTATCTCTAAAATATGAATGCCACGATAATTAGCATTGATAATATTCAATTTGTTATTATGTGCGGTTTGATAACATTGCAATTAATATTTCTTTCGGGATTCTATGTTCGACATCACGTTTTATACTAGTTGATTTTATAAACCTGTTTTTTATTTATTGATAGTGTACCCAATATATTAAATATATTATTTGTATTATATATATATATATATATATATATATATATATATATATATATAGATATACATATATATATACACAAATAATATTATATACAAATACATACAAATATATTATACGCAAGCTATGCGATATTGTCGTGAAGTAAATGAATTTCTCTGGAATAATTGAGGAATAGGGATTGAATAAGACGTAAAGTAAAAAATAATTCGAATCGCAAAGTATTAATATATTTATCGTATATTTATTTTTATTTTCTTTCTCTTTGTATATAGATACTGCTCACATTCAAGAATCAAGTAGGTGCGGACAACTGGAAACGTTTCGCCGATCAATTTCCACCGCAGCTTAATGAACGGCTGCATAATATGTACGGCGTCTGAGCACTTCCGCCTAAAAGTGGTAAGTGAAAAATGATTTGTCCAAATGCAAATATATATACATATATATACACATATATACACATATATAGGATGTCTGACACGAGATTGTCAAAAGCACGTGTGCGGATTGAATAAACTGGACAAAGAATTCTTTTATCTTTCCTCAAATAACCATATAAAATTTCGAGAAATTAATGAAAAATAAATTGATAAACCAGTGCATGCGATGTCATGGGACGAGTTCTGTCTCATCGAAATGGCCCCTTTGTCCAGAGCCAAGTAAATAAATTTTGGTACCAAATACTAAAAAATGTTTAAAAAAGATATTAAAAGATGTTTAAAAATAAGATATTAAAATGATAAAAAATTTCAATAAGTGCTAAGACAGGAGCTTACGTGAAGTAATCAGAATTCTAGAAATTTAGAATTTGTCCATTGCCTCATATATTCAATGTCTTCACTTTGAAGGTCTTCACGGGATCATAGCATCATTTTAGAAGTACCAAAATGATAATTAAAATTTCAACTTTGATGATTGTTTATTCTCGGGAAAGTATTGTCATGATTTTGAAAACCTCTTCGTTTGTCACTTCGCAGGTTGTACTTGGATTTCCAAATTCCAATGTGCAATCTGCGGTCAATCAAAAATTGGTGCTTTTGTCAGGCATTACCTCCTAGATGAATTGTACGTGAATTACCAACAATAAATTTTAATTATCATTTTGGTATTTCTAGAATAATGCCATGGTCCCTTCAAAGTGACCAAATAAAGTCACTGAACATATGGGGTAATGGATGAAATTCTAAATTTTTGAAACTCTAACGAGTTTGCAGACGTAACCTTCCGTCTCAGCACTTATTGAAATATTCTTTATCGATTAGTACCAAAATTTATTTATTTGGAAAAGGGAAAACGGGTCCCTTGTCAGCCATTTTTTATGAGATCACATCTATAGACCTCGTGTTTTTGGCAATCTCGTTTCAAACATTCTGTAATAAGAAAATAAATATCGAGTATTCAACGTGACGTCACTTACGTCGAGTATATTACGTTTCTTTCAGAAGGCCGCTTAATGCAGCAGGCCGAACGGGGTTGGGCGGGAAACCATGGGCGGATGGGATGGGTGGGTGAAACCACGGCCTCTTCTCATCAACATCGTTGTCGTTACCGCATCGTCGTCGTCGTCGATGTTTTATTCGTCGTCGTCGTCGTCGTTCTTTCGGGGAGGGTGATGCATGCGCTGCCTATAGCTTCAATAGCGGGGTAGCGAAGGGTGAAGTACACACGAAAGGGAAGAAAGAAACACGAAGCAGGGGAATCGAGGGGTCGAAGCAAAATGAGAACGACAAAGAGATAAGCATTGGCCGAAAAGTTAAAAAGCGTGGGTGGGCGGGGTGGGATATCTTCTTTCGGGGTGGGAGGGAGGAATTCTGTGGTAAAGCATCGACCACAACAATTACAAGAAAGCAAGGAAGAGAGCAAAAGGTATCGTGTTTAGACAACGCTACGCAACGTACTGCACTCACAGTGATACCTTGATGTAGTGACGTACACAAAACACTCCGTTTCCATTAGCGCTACAATAACACTGCGACAAGTGTTTGATTCTCGCGTATCGAAACGTGACAACGTGCTGGCGCAAATAGCCAACTTCTAGCCCAGCTCTAAGACGTAGATTATAGATACATATATATATTATCGAGAAATATCAACTCTCACACACACATTGAGACGGTTGAGAAAAAAAAGTTTAAAGAGTAAGCATAGATCTCACGTTATAGAGCTCGCCGGACACTGTGATCGAAAATTTGTATGCATTAGATATCGATCCTTTCTTCTCTTCTTTTTTTCTTGAGAGAGAGGGAGAAAGAGAGAATGTGAGCGAGAGAAAAAGAGAGATCGAGAGAAAGATATTGTGAACGAGAGATATGAGCATTCTACTCGAATGTGTTTGTAGAATTTTAGAGACAAGTTAGCAATTACTTATTTGATAAAGATACAAAGTTAGAGTACGTTATATAGAAATTTCATAGTGTACAGAAGGTTTTTCGAGAATATTGTATTTTTATACGTTGAGAAACACACACAAAGAGATACGCAGAAAGTGCCATTCCGTCGTCGTCATTAACCAAAATTTTTCTGCTTATTTTATTCTTGCTGATTGTGATATTAGGTTATGTGACAACTCTTTGTCATCGTGTGTAAAACATTTCAAATATATATTATATATATATGCATACGTACGTATACACGTGCGCGCGCATTTGTGTACGCATGTTATGTATGCGCAGGTGTGCGTGCGAAAGTTACGCAATACGTATGTATACCCAACATATTTTAACTCACAGACCACTTTGTGATCACTTTTTTTTGTTAAACATATATTAAAATTAGTATCATATTAGCATTAGTGTAAATAGGTAAATACATTTTAGAATGAACGTTTTTGTTATCAATTATAGATATCAAATCTTCGCTTATATATATATATATATATATATATATATATATATATATATATATATATATATGTATAAATATATATATATATATATATCTCAAGTCTCTAGAGTTGTGACATTGTTCAATCACAGTCATCGGTAACTATTAACAGATACGATCCACAGAGTCACGGATCTATGACGTGAAATCTATGGCGACGTTGACTTTTATTTGGGCGGTAAAATGATCTCTCGATGTTTCATCTTCGAAGAACATATTGCGATAAAACCGAAAAAAATGAAGAAAAAAACATTTTTACGAGAGAAATCGAGCGCAAATTACATGTCATTCCAGTCCCACATTTGGGCCAGTTTACGAAAGTGAGCACTTTCATCATACGCGACTACTGCTTTTATCTCGGTCGTTACTTAAAAAAAATAGAAAACGAAGAAGAGGGAAAATAGGAAGACTTAGTTCTTCCAATTCTTCTAACGTTGTGACAAAGCAAAAAAAGCAACATCTATCGTCGACATTTGAATATGTACATATACACATACACATCTTCGAAAAATGCGCTCCAAAAGCAACTTCTAAATAGTTTTATGACATGAAAAAAACAAGAAAAATCATGTTTTAATTTTCATACACACAATTAAGTAAGAAAGAAAAGAAAAGGAAAAGTACACGCCACACACAAAGGACAAAGCTCAAGGAGAACAGTGGGATTATGAGAACAAAAAAAAGGAACTGACCATCGCTGTTGTCAATCAAACTTTGAAGTTATTAATAAAATAATCAAGTGACTGGCGGGAACAACCGGGCGCAGGCGAGACACAGACGTTTTCGAAAAAAAAGAAGTGTGATTACTTTGACATTTCGTCTGTAAGAGGAGATCGAAACAAAGAGAGAGAGAGCGAGCTCTCGGGTCCTTATGACGAGCTTCACTTCACCTCACCTCACGGACAAAACGAACAATCGACCATGCATCAAGTTCGTTTTAGACGATCTATAAAATCCGCGAGGGTAAACGCGAAACAGAATTCTATTTGCGATTTTTTTTTCACGTGGTGCGTTATGCAGAGAAAACGAGTATGAGACGATTCATACATGTATATGTACTTTACATAACTTAGGTAATAACGTATAAATAGATGTAATTCTAGAACATTTATAGATGTAATTCTTATTCAAGTATATAAATAAAAATCACAATTTTATAAAATAAAGAGCAAAATTACAGATAGAATTCTGCTGCGATTCGAAGGTCGTCTAAAGCGATCTTTATATCGAGTACAACGCGGCGACAGGGTTAGCACTCCCCCGTTTTTCTCTGTCGTCGTTTTATATCGAGTAAGAATCATTTTTCGCTGCTTCCTCTTGCTTTATGGCCCACGCACGGCGAAATACCGCGGTCTCTCTTCGCTCCGCGAGGACAGAAAGGGATCCTGTGCGACGTAGGACGTGAACTTATCGTGACCGCTCCTTGACTTAATCCACTCGTTCGTCAACTCGGCAATATATATATATATATATATATATATATAGATAGGTATTCACGTGTGTATATTGTCGTAACTATCCCTAAACTTGGCCCCTTTCCTTGCCCTGCCTGCGCGCCATTTATGTGATATTACTGTTTTTTATATTACTTAAGAGCTTGGAGGAGAACAAAAAAAAAAGAAGAAAATAGAGTTCGGGCCACACGACACTCGACGCAAGAGTCTGAGACTAAAAAGAAAAAAAGGAATCATCGCCACGACGAAGCGCGCGAACGGATTTTATTTTCTTATATACTATATTTTAATTTCCCATCTATCACGTATATATTATAATAAATATATAAATATATATATGTAAATACCTTCGCGTTTATATATACGAAGTCGACGTCATTAATCTCGATCGCGCCGTCTCCATCGCTTCACTTCGAGTTATATTTTAAGAATTTAATAGCGGCTTTAAGGACGGAGTTATATATTGTTCACCTCGATAGTTCCTAAGATAGACGAGAGATTTTGTCGGTGGTAATAATAATTGTAATAATTGTTCGTTGTCGATCTCAGGTTGCCGCGCGAAATTTCGTATCGCAATAGAATCTAGAAATGTAATATCGCGTCCTTTCCCCACGTTCACGGTTGTAAATACGTTTCTTTGACTTTGGTGTAGTTTCGAATAAAGTCTGCACAAGAATGTCCGTAACATTTTAAGGTGCGTTAGTCTATCTATTTACAATAGATGATTTAAGTCCTAAACCTTAAGAAATTGACCAATCGCTCAAATGTAAGAAGAATAATTGACTGTGACTAGTCAATTTCTTAAGGTTTAGGGCTTGAGTCATCTATATAGACCGGGATTTAAGCGCTGACCGTAAACTGAAGTTTGTACGTAACAGTAAACTTGTTCTTTAAATTTTTTGAAGTGAAATTTTACTCGAAGAGTATGAGAGAGACTACCGAGTTGAATTCAAATGATTTTTTATTCATACAGAATCAATTTTCCACTCTGAATTGTCGAGGGAATATTTTCACACGAAATTTTGAAGAGTGAATTTGATGTACTTCACTGTTATAGGAACACATTCATTTTAATTGATCGATTAATTGATTAATATTCACTCTCTTTTCCTCTTTTTCATATAGAGTGTTGTAAGTTTAATTAAAATATTCATTCTCGCGATTTCGAATGGTAGCATTCTCACTAGTTTTGAGTGAGATTTCACTCCAAGAAATTTAAAGAATATGCTAACGCACAAAGAAAATCGTAACATAACAAAAGCATGATTACGTGTAATCATCTCATTACTTATGAGGTACATATCAAATATTTTACGTAATAAAAGGAAAATTAGGAGAGAAATATTTAATAAATTAAATATCTTAGCAAAATTGTTATTTTGATAACATTTTCTATAGTATACCGTTTTATTCTTTTTTCTATATTATACTGTTTGTTCATTTAATTGTTGCAATAACTAAGTCAAAAGAACGTCATAATATAGAAAAAATAATAATGTTGACAAAATATTTATTAAATTAAATATCTTAATTATTTCATTTTATAAAATACTTGATACACACTTATCTACATGATAATGTGCTAATATATCTACATAATAATATGATAAAATTGCGCGCAAAATCGCACAAAATAACGCTTTTGTTACGTTATACGATTTTTTTGTGCGTTGACTTAAATTTATTATTACGTATACGACTTCGGTTTACAGTGAGCACTTAACGTAACTTAAAATGTCGCGAACGTCCTGGTGCGGAGGTCCTAACGTGACTGGACATGACGGATATAATTGTCGCGATTCATAGTCTATTTCCGCACGACGTCGATGGCACATTCTGCAAAATGGCATTCTGCTTGTCTCTCGTTCGAAGAGTCGTGTGGCTCGTGATTATTTATTACACTCGAAGCTCTCAATCTCGCGCACACACACACACGCGCGCGTGCATACATACACACATACACATTTATACACATATACACATGCGAGATAAGACAAAATAGCAAATTTATGAATGATTGTAAAGAGTATAACGGTACGTAAAGCAGATCGTCGTTACTATTTATACATAAATATTGAATATTGCAATTGTGAGAGAGGTAAAAAGAAAAAGAAAGACGTCGATCGAACCTCGAGAAAATTTCCATTTCTTTTTTTATCGCCATAAGTAAGAGAGTAGTACGGGGAAGTAGGCGTGAAAATTACACAACGGGACGATCGCAAAAAAGGGGAAGAGATGAGAAAAAATAGAGGTTTTCAAAACAAGTGAGAAAGAAAGAGAGAGAGATTAATATAAATATACGAGTTACACAAACACGAATCGATAAAGCGACGTCAAATCGATAGCGGCAGATTCACGAAGTAAAGTATATTGTTGTATCTTTATTGTTGTTGTTGCATGAGACTAGCGTAAATAGACTGAGCCATACACGTGGTTAAATAACTATTAACATAATGATCCTTAATTAATACGCTATATTATTGTAATTATATTATATACGGTGTGTATATTATATTTATAATTGTAACGAGAGAGTCCGTGCGGGCAGCGTTTGGAGCCAGGTTCCTGTCCTTTGAGGATTATCGTTCACCCTTCCATCCCGATCGCGCACAGTAGAATCCTCACGGCGACCGAGGCCGCTCTTTAATCCAACAGTAGCGTGTCAACGTGTGTGTACCATCCCTCAGCGGGAGACACACCACCTAGGGAGTGCGTGTGTGCCCCGAGTAATGTTCATATACGCGCATGAGCCCGCGAATTCTCCGGGTGTTCTCCTCATCACTCGACCGTGAAACAGTCAATCAATCAATATCCGGGTACAATCAATCAATATCCACCGAGCGACTGTCTTATCGCGTCGCCGCGGAATTAGATTAATATCCTAGATTTAGAGACTTTACAAATATTATCCAACACCACGCTTCGTATTGTGAAAGAAACTATATTATAGATGTGTATATATATATAGCTATATACATAATATATTCCCCTCCTGTTTCGATCGAGATCTTCGGAAAAGAAGGAGGAAAGAGAGAGGAGGAATGAATGAACGAATCTTGTCGAACGCCGAGCTTCTCGATCGAACGACACCGACATCGCCTCATACCCACTCACTCCCCCTCCCCCGTCATCCCTCTCAAAGGATCGGAATTCTGTGCGATGGGGCTGTTCCTAGTACCTGATTATCCTATCCTTGCGGCACGAGAGCGCAGTTCCGTCGAGCGAGCGCGAGCGCGGTTCGAAGAGAACAATCTCTTTGCGTCGTGTTTTTTTCTTAGCTTTCTCCCTCGCGTTTTCCCTTCATTCTCGCTCTACTTTCTCTCGCAAGCGCCAGTGGATTCCTCTGTCCAGTGTTTGCACTCAGTATAGAGTACACGTACACGGTGTTCTTTTTTTATTGTTGCATATTACCTTGACTGCCTAGTACTTAAGAGTAATCACTAGCGTCTCGCGGGAACAGGTCACGTGACACACGACGCGATCCATCAACTCCTCTCGCCTTTCGCGTGCGGTTCTAGGGATGTTGGGCTACTAATATGATACTGGTATCGATATTTTTTCTTTGATACCTCGTGTATTTTTTGTCAATATTTTCTTCCGATATTCGTACTTATATCGGTTCCACTTCGTTTCAATATCTTTTCGATATCTTCTTTTTTATTTGCGAGAAATCGTGTGACAAAAATTATTGCAGTATATGTGAACAGAAACAATGTACCCACAAAATAACTCGTGATCGATTTAGCACACTTGTGAAAATGTCCAGACGTTTTTCTTTTATTTCAATGCTCAATAAATAGCCGAAAATTAATGTAACATGCAACTTTTAAAACTATCTTATGATTTCTGTTACATACATTTTTTACAGTTATTGATTTACTGAAGTAAAAGGAAGATGTCCGCAGACATTTTTACAAGTCGATGTGGAGTCGATCAAGAGTGTCATTTTGTGTGTATATTTTTTATTCCCATGTATACTGTAATAATTTTTAATATACGATTACTCGCGCTTCTGATGTCATCAAACAAGGACAATAGCGAGGACACAGAAGCCTTAACACATCTTTTTTAAGATTTTTAGATCACAAACCGTAAAAAGTTTAATGCAGAAGGTAGAAGTATCTTTGTATCATAGTGAGATTATTATACGTGAACGTACAAAATCTCCCTAAAAGTAGCTTTGCAAGACCTAATATTTCCCTGATTTTTATATTCCCTTTAATTTTAAGCTTTTTTTTTAAGTTTTGATACCAGTATCGAATATCGGCATCGATATTCTGTTCTCACATTGGTATCACTAACTATATTGGTATCAGCGTAATGGCGTTGGGGCAAAATTCTTAGAGAAGCCTGGAGCCAAATATTGAAGTTGAACTATATTGGTACTCTTGATTCGACATCCGTTTTCAACACTAGTATCGATACTTTCATAGTGTCACAACATCCTGCGGCTCGATTCGGACAGAGAACAAATCAGGCGAGCTGTGTCGTGTCGCGACCTCTTCTTGCTTTGTAGTAGTACGTCGCATGTAAGTTTTTCGCACGGACAGAAAAAAAAACAATGACTACATTCTTCATTCTTTCCTACGCAAGACGTCAAGGTGCAACGAAAGGGTGCTGCCGCGATCTCGGATGAGCGAAAGAGACTGTTGTTTCGTACATACACCTGTTTGTATAACTCGAAGCGTCGTGTGACGAAAGGATCAGCCGTGCGCGCGATGTTCTAGCACTTGATTGTCCGCAATTGTTCTCACCTCTAGGCCTATTCTGTAACTTTTAACGACAGTGTCGTTATCGTTACGTTGTCGTCGCACAGGTATAATACATAATAAAAAAGCTGCGTAACGACATATGCTAATGACATTGTCGTTAAGAAGTTACAGAATAGATCTACTAATAGTGCGATTCTATGACCTGTTAATTGTCATTAATGACAATATTACTAACACTGTGTGTCGTTGCGCATCTTTTCTAGCACATACTATTCTGCGCAACGTTAACGACAGTTAACAGAATCACACTGCTAGCTTGAATTTAACGTTTACTCGGCGAAAAAAGCATTCTTCTCCAGATAGATGGGTTCCAAGCAGAACAGAACATCACGATCACGTCAAAATTATGAGAAAATGATCAAATTATAATTGAAGAATAAGTCTTTTTAATCATTTTGACGTCGTCGTGATTTTTTCTCCTATCTGGGGTGTACCTAAATTTGGCAGTAACTTTAGTTGATGGGTAAAGGATGCATCTTCTTTGCAAGTGGTTGATATTTATCACACCGATGTGATGTGTAACGTAACCTTTGTATGTGATGTAACATATTTATCAAACACACGCAGAGTAACGAAATAGAAATAAGGAAAATATCATAATTTAATCCAAACTCCACAGCTCATTTTGAGTAAATCACAAAATTTATTCAAAATAAACAATACGTTATGCAAAGTGTACTACGAAAATTGCTGAATAACTTGGAGAGCAGCTTATTGCTGCACATCAATATAACAAAAAAATTACATAATTTGATAATATATAAATTTAATGATTAATTCAACACTCACAATACGTTTGTTTCATAAGTGTAATGAAAAAAATTGTCAAGTATCTATCGTTTTATATGATGATAATCGTGAAAGTCTATCTGGGTTGCCATTCTCAACGTTAAATATTTTTTTCGATTCAAATCAAATCAATCAATTAAAGTACATTTCAATTAAGTAAAGAATATAATGTCAATTCGGATACTCACACGAGTGTTTGTGTCCTTCGACTGACGGTCGTTTAAAAGATTTTTCCATTGGATATAAATCAACGCAAATTCGGCGTGGAGAGACGTCAAATTCATTAAAATTTCGACTGGATTCCTTGGAATATTCCGTGCGCGGCTAACTCGGTCGTCACAACCGTCTTGAACCCACAATCGCAATCGCACTGTAAATCCATCATCTAAGGCTGACTGTACGCTCGATACATCCATATTTTATAGCCACGGCAATTTATCATCTCATTATGTGAAATCGCAATCTCTTTTCCGTACGCGAGCTCACACTATTGTAATCGAGTTGGACGGCTTTATGTACTATAAAACGTCACGTAAGCGCGTGCAAATCGATTCGAATGACGTCGAGGATCCATCTGTATTTCGAAGGGCAAACCGAAGGTTATGACGGAGTATTAAGGCTTCTGAGTACTCATTGTGGAGCTCTGAATTGATAACGTCAGAAGTGAGAAAACTCATGTCCAAAAACCTTGCATGTTATTTCCAAATAGAGTTGTGTGTGAAAATATTAAATTTTTCGCAAAACAATTGATTTGAACAAATATGTTTTAATTCAACTAATTAACGATTAATTCAAGCAAAATCAATTGAAGAATATTTGACAATCAATTTCGACGAATTCAATTAAAGACCGTTTAATTGACGATTTATATGAGCGATGGGAATCGTTCAATTAACAATTAAACTTAACACTTTATTGCAGTTGAAGGCCGTTTAATTGACGATTGAATTTGGCAAATTTAATTGAAAGTTGTTTAATTGATGATTGATACAAGTAAATTTAACTGATTCAATCGAAGAACATTTGATTATTCAAAATGACAATTGAGTATGTGGATAATATTCATCAAAATATCGTGACATCGTGGAAAATACCGATAATTGAGTAGGACTTGCGTTGAAAAAAGCACTGAGCATATCAATTGTCGTCAAACAATCTTTGATTAAATCAATTGATTGACGATTTTCCATTGGATTTGTTAAAATCAATTGTCAATTAAGCGGCCTTCAATTGTATTGGTTCATATTAATCGTCAATTAAATACAATAATTAATTAAAAAAATAATTACTCGCAACTTTGTTTCTAGTTAAAATAAATATTTGTGTGAAAGAACATTTTTGATCATTTAAACATATTCTTATCAAATGCTCTTATAAAACTACCTCTTTCCATTGGCAGTCAACAAATAACTGTAAAATTAACTTAACCTACTTTACCTAACTTTCCTCTTTAATTTACTTTTCCTCATGATTTTGCCCCACATTTATCTTAGAATTGTTTATTAACTCTAAAGAAAAAGGATAGTTTTAGAAACACTTTACAAGTATGCTCCAAGTAATCCAAAGTATCCTTTTATATAAATACTTTTTACTTGGCAATAGCACGCTAGAACTTTCGGCGTGTTATTCCTCGCTTTTGACGTGACAATCCAATATGACCACGGCGAGTATCCGATAGCTTTAAAAGATCATAGGCTTAAGATTTGTTGATGTATTTACGGAGGGACAGTCTATCGCTTCCTGCCGCTGAGCTTCTTCCGTTTTAATTAATCTGTCAGTCGCGTGCCACTATAGACAAGCACGTGTCTAATCGGATGTTCCGTGTCGGAGACTGAAACCGGTAGAACTTTTCTGTTTGCCCTTTTAGATTCTCCTTACTGTGCATAAACGCGTGGAGATGATCCCCGTGAAGAGAAACAATGACGTACGGTCACGTTTGTTGAAAATATACTTTGCCGTCGATTCTCTCGATATATCTCGTGTGTCTTACGAAAAATATTAGTTATATTATTTATAACTTGAAACCCGCCTTTTTTGCAAAAATTAAACCTTTATTTGAAAAACAAATGAAAAAAATACATCAATTAAAGTATTTGCCATCGTTAGATATGACTTTTTCCCATCTTTCTGGTAATAAGTGGATCCCACGGCGAAAGAACGACTCATCTTTAGAAGCTATCCAGTTAGAGACCCATTTTTCGACGCTTTCATAAGAGTTGAAGTGTTTCTCTGCAAGTGCGTGTGCCATCGAACGAAACAAATGGTAGTCGGAAGGGGCACAGTCTGGTGAATAAGCTACTTCCTAACGAAATGCTTCCAATGTTTCCTTGAGGGCCTTAGTGACGTGAGGTTGATCGTTGTCATGAAGCAAGATCACTTTATGCTGTCTTGTCTCATATTCTGGTCGTTTTTCGCGCAATGCTCGGCTCAAATGGATTATTTGTTGTTGGTAGAGATCCCCTATGTTTGATCATATACTAAATATAGAGCATGGCCTTCTTTCCATGAATATTGCGTTTTGGCGTCGATGTCGATGGTTGGCCTGGATTGCAAATGATTTTTCGGCATTTGAGGTTATCGAAATAGATCCACTTTTCATCGCCAGTCACAATTTGATGTAAAAACCCCTTTCTTTTTTGCCTGGCAAGCAGCATTTTGGAGATGGTTTTTCGCCTTTCATTGTTTTTTTTCTTTCAATTCATATGGACTTCCTTATATACCTTTCTCATGGCTTTTAAACATTTGAAAATGGCTGCTTGAGTAACATTCAACATTTCTGCAAGTTGATTTTGTGTTTGACATGGATCTTCATCAACCAATGCTTGCAGTTCTGTATCTTCGAATTTTTTTGCTGGCTTGGACATTCTTTATCACGTCAAAATCACCAAGTTTGAATTGTCGAAACCATTTCTTGCAAGTTGTTTCCGAGCAAGCTATAAGCTTCAACAAGCATTCGATGAGATTCAGCAGCAGTTTTCTTCAAATTGAAACAGAAAAGCAAAGCTTCACGCAAATGACGTTTATTTGGTTGAAATTCAGACATTTTCTTCGCAATAAATAATTATGTTGTCACAAATACAAACTTTTATACACTGAATATTATTGACAGAGGTCAAAACTATAAATGATGCCTTGTTCAGCCATTACAGTTGACGATTGTCAAAGCTACAGCTATTTATTACTAGAGGGCGGGTTTCAAGTTATAGACCTAATATATATTTTAATTTATCACACTCGCGTGCGCGTGTCTCGTATGCATAGAGAGTAACCGCAGCAGCGTCCGAAATCAATCTCACTGAAAGTGTACCGGTTTCAATTCTCGCTTCGTATCTGCGCTCATTATCTTGGTTCTCTGTGCGCTACGTGATATTTCATTCGAAATAAATCTTGACGAGTACTCCGAGCATCGTTGCGAGTCTTCTTTAGCATGAATTCTCTATCTCCTCCCTCGATTCGTTTTCGTTTTTCATTACATCTTCATTTTTATGCGAATGTTTTATGAGAGATATTTTTCAGCTTCTTTATCGACAAGATACGTATGTATCTACTCCCCGTTACTAATCTTGAGTTACTTGAGTTACTCGTTTCGTAGTTGTTTCTCGGGTTTCTGCAAATTTGTTGTAGAAGGTGTACATATTTTTTCGTTGCGTCGTAAAGATACTGCTATAATTTTTCATTGATTTTGACTATTGCAGAATACGATCTGATACTGCAGATATAAACGAGGTAAGTACTCAGTAAGAACACAATAACATAACTGTTACATTGTCGTAATGTAATGAAATGTAATGTACAACATAACATGTATGTATTATTTAACGTACACGTTAGCCGTAATTTCCCATTTAAGTTATATTACAGTTATACAGGGTGTCTGACGCAAGACAAACAATATCACGTGTGAAGGTAGAGCACGTTCACCTAAGCACGAAAATCTCTGGCAAACAACCATGTGAAATTTTAAGATATTAAAAAAAAGGATTGAGAGATTTCACTGAAAATTACGGAAACGCGACCACCTCTTAGCACGAATGGACATCAGCTGACAGCTAAAAGCGAAGTAACGATGCAAGCGGTGCATAGGCAATTGTTTTTCGACGTATCGCGAGCGTGTTGTATACATGTCGCGTCTCAACCATTTTGGTATAACTTTTGCTGTATCGTGATTACAATTCTTCCCAGCAAACACAGCCTAACAGCACAGATATCTAGGAGACGTCTAGAGTACGTCCTAAGAACGTTCTGAGGACGTTTCTATGTTCTCAGGATATTTCTGAGATGTTCCCAGAAGATTTTGTGTTGTATGGGCAGTCATAATTGCTATATAGCATATATGTAATAACAGTATGTTTTATATTATATAGTAGTTATGACCTGTATTTGCTAGGTTATATGCTTTAATATATCATATTTTACGTACGAAAAACAGACGCCATTTAAAGGACTATTTGACATCTGCATATAAAGATGATATATAACATAAATGTAATGTATACGAGGGTGGTCTGAAAAGTTTCCGACCTCAACGTGAAGATAGCAGCACTTGTAAATAAAAGCTAGTGAATTTCGTTGTTCATCTGTTGACAGTTACTCACCGAAGTTTCAGCCATTTTGGACTCGCAGTTGTTATGTAACAGTCGTTTGAGTAAGTTGATGTGAGTGTTTTTGTGAAAATGGACAAAATCGAGTATCGAGCTGTCATTAAATATTTGTTTTTGAAAGGCAATACGCCTACGCAAATCAAAGATGAGTTGGATTCTGTGTATGGGGACTCTGCACCATCATTTACGACAGTGAAATTTTGGGCCGCT